ATATCTAATAAAATTGCTGGACAATTTAGATTCACTAAGCGGTAATTTCATGCTGGTATTACAATTTGCAAATGGAGGAAATCTACGGAATCATTTACGAAGTAAACAACAAGATGATATTTATAAAATTTCGTGGTCGGAACTCATCCAAATCGCAAAGGAAATTACTCTTGGATTGGAGCATTTGCATAATAATGACATCATCCATCGTGACCTGGTGAGCTTGGATTTAATATTCTAATATCAATATCAATAAAATTTTAATTAAACTTTTAAATCTTTATTGTAAAAATTTTTTAAGCATTCTAAAAATATTTTGATAAATGACGGAAAGGCCTTAATTGCAGACTTTGGAATGTCGATACAATTAAATGATGCTACCGAATCAAGCTCAACTATAATAGGCACAATAGCATATATTGACCCGCGATGCTTATCGTTATATGTTAAACGTGATAAAAAATCCGACATTTATAGTTTGGGCGTATTGCTATGGGAACTCACAAGTGGTGTTCCTCCGTCATTTCACATAATTATACAAATTTTGCAGAACAAAAGAGAAGAAATTATTGCTAACACACCATCAGAATACACTCATCTTATCGAAAATTGTTGTTCTGATCCAAATCAACGTCCAACACTGAATCAAATTTTGATAAAACTTGAAGATCTATCAAAAGAAACAACTGTTGAATTTGTTACAAATAATAAATATGTCAAGAACAATCAACAAGTGATGACATACAGCGAACGTCTTGAAGGTAATCAACATATTCCATAAACATTGATAATATGTTTTTAGGTTAGCTGCTAATGGCATGGACATTTTATTTAGAATCCGACGACAATATTTATTTAAAAGACGAGTCACAAATATTAAATGGTTCGTATTTATCCAGTAATCATAATATTGACGAAAAAAAATGCCTACATACTATTATTTATGTTTTATTTGAGATTTTATTAAGAAAAAAAATTTTATTATTTAGATATTGAATCCGGCGACAATATTTATTTAAAAGACGAGTCACAAATATTAAATGGTTCGTATTTATCCGGTAATCATACTATTATTTATGTTTTACTTGAGATTTTATTAAGAAAAATTTCTATTATTTAGATATTGAAGAAATCTCAAATAAGGAAATAATACGAATTCCAATTAAATTAATAGATGAATCATGGAATTTTTTTATGATTTACTTTTT